CCTCTCTCCCTCTCTCCCTCTCTCCCTCTCTCTCTCTCTCCCTCTCTCCCTCTCCCTGGCTACCCTGGAACTCACTATGTAAACCAGGATGGCCTTGAACCCAGAGATCCACCTGCCTCTGTCTCCCAAATGCTGGGTTAAAATCGAGCACCATCACTTGGCTTTTCTTTTTAATGGATTAATGTTTCTTAAAGTATTTTTTTTTTTGCTGCTTTTTTTGTTAATTTTTTTTAAAGATTTATTTATTTATTATGTATACAACATTCTGCCTCCATGTAACCTTGCAGGCCAGAAGAGGGCACCAGATCTCATGACAGATGGTTGTGAGCCACCATGTGGGTGCTGGGAATTGAACTCAGGACCTCTGGAAGAGCAGTCAGTGCTCTTAATCTCTGAGTCATCTCTCCAGCCCAAGTTTTTGTTTTTTTAACATGTCCATGATATTATTTGTCAGACATTCAGATTGTGGAAAAACATTTAAAACTAAAATGTAGCAGGCTTTTTTTAGTTTATTTTGGGAGTTTTGTGAGACAGAGTCTCACTGTGTAGCCCTGGCTCACTTAGAACTTGCTGTGTAGACCAGTTGGTCTTGAACTCACAGATTTGCCCCCGTCTCTTGCCTCCCAAGTTCTGGGATTAGAGGTGTACCACCATGCCTGGCACACAGCAGTTTTGATCTTCTTAAAGTGTTAAAAGTTAAAGTTTGATTGATGTCTGTTTAGATCGTATAGGTCAAACAAAGCTTTGTAAAAGCAGATTATTAGCACTGCTGCCTGTTCTGACGTTTATAATAGTCCATCAACTAAAACTAGCTAATGCTGGTAGGGTGAGGCCCAGCCCCCAATGTTACGTGATAGTCAGAGGTTTGCTAAAGCTGGCTGCTCTGAGTATACTGAGTGTGCCTTCTACTGTATACATAACGTACGGAGGGAGTTTCCATCCTGAGAAGATGAGAACGGGAGCATTAGCAGAGGAGTGTGGCTGTGTACACCTGGGAGCTTGTCCCCCACTTGATCGTCAGTCTCTAGCTTCTTCAGACTTGCTTGTTGCTAAGGGAACAAGATATTTCTTGTCAGCAGCCATCCAGCTTGCCTGGATGTTTCTGGCCACCTTGTTAAGGAAAAACTTGACAGTATTCTTTGAAATACTATTTTAAATACCATCATTTTTTTTTTTTTAGGATTTATTTATTTATTTATTTTCTTATTTTTATTCTATGTACAGTGGTGTTTTGCCTGCGTGTATGTCTGTGAAGGTGCCAGATCCCCTGGGATTGGAGTTAGAGGCAATTGGGAGCTGCCATGTGGGTGCTGGGAATTGAACCTGGGTCCTCTGAGAGGGCAGCTAGTGCTCTTAACCACTGAGCCATCTCCCCGGCCCCAAAATGTTTTTGTAAGAAGTTGTCTATTGAATTTTGAAAGGAGTTAAAGTTGAGACCAGAGAATCCTTGAGCCTCTTCTTGACAGTCTCCCCCCTGGAGTCAGAGGTCTTGAAGAGCCACACTTGCTGGTGTCGGTCCTTGGCAGCGCTCAGGTGTGCACAGAGAATATTGCCTTGTGGGGAGGAAGAAATGAGCTCTCTTGATCGAGGTTGTGTAGGATGCAGTCTTATTTGTAGGCATGGCAAAACTCCAGGTTGCTTAGAGGCATGTGGAGTGTCCATTTTCAAGTTTCTTGAGTAATTTCATCGAGGTCATATTGTAAATGATTTTTAGATATTTTGAAGAAATATCTGAACGCTGTGAAATTAGTGGAAAAACTTAAGCTCCTTGTCCAAGGGTTTTATAATTCAGTTTCTGTGTGGAAGTAAAATTTTTATGTACATTTGAGTGAATTAAAACTAATAATGGCCGGGCGTTGGTGGCGCACGCCTTTAATCCCAGCACTCGGGAGGCAGAGGCAGGCGGATCTTTGTGAGTTCGAGGCCAGCCTGGGCTACCAAGTGAGTTCCAGGAAAGGCGCAAAGCTACACAGAGAAACCCTGTCTCAAAAAAAAAAAAAAAAAAAAAAAAAAACTAATAATGATTTTCTTTCTATGGCCTTTTAATAAGAATTAAGCCAGTATCTTATTCTTTCTAAGTTGTGTTTCTCATTCGGGACTTGCCTCTATTATTCTTTCATCCCACTCATTCTTTCATTCAAAAGCCACTTAAAGTGGAGTGTAAAGATTCAGTTAACTTGACCTCACTGTTATAATAGAGATTCCGAAAGTGCCAACAGCAGCTAAATCATACCTCTATTTTTTTTTTAAAAGCACTTTTTGTTTTTTGAAACAGTTTCTCTGTGTTGCACTTGCTGTCCTAGAACTCGATCTGTAGACCAGGCTGTCCTTGAACTCATAGATATCCACCTGCCTCTGCCTCTTAAGTGCTGGGATTAAAGATGTGCGCCACCACTGCCCAGCCAAAAAGTTTTATGACAAGGTTTACCTGAAAAATCAGGCTTAGCGATCAGCATTGAAACATTCCAAGTTGTGCACTATTAGATGCCAAGTGTGTAGCAGAGCAAGCGGGTACTCTGAGAAGTTAAGAGCAGTGGGGGCTGGTGATGGAGCAGGAGGAAGGGCTTGCCTGTTTGGTTGTGGTTAGCTGCTGCTCCTGTGTAAATGCAGACACTGGTCACGGTGGAAAAGGGGCTGCTCCACCAGGACCCATCACAGCTCCTAGAGAATGACTTTCGTTCAAAGTCATCTTCCTAATTTCCTTACTGTGCCACAGTGCCCAGTAACATACAGTTTCAGTTATGTAGCAAGGTGATTCAAGTAATTACTGTTTCTATTAAGGAATAATTGAAAACAAAGCAAAAGGCTTTAAAGAGTTTTGTTACAAATACATGTGTTGCCTCATTAAGTACTTTTACATGAGCCGTTTTACTTTTTAAGTAATGTTTCCCAGTTGGAAGGGATAAAGTAGGTGAACCAGGTCGCCAGATGATGTGTAGCTCGGTGTGGGTCGTTTTGTTTGCTTGGCCTGGGATGTTTTGACAGTCGCTTTCTTTTGCAGTGGAATCGAATGCAGTGCCTTTATCGTTTAGTTCTTTGAGACGCAGCCTAATTCTAGGCTTTCGGAGGTAAGATTACCAGCCTAAATGTTCTGTCATTGGACTGATTGCCCTTGTCCTTGTGATCTCTTGATGATGGGAACTCCTTTTGAGACAAGCGCTTACTCTGAGTTGAATTAGGTTTGGACAGCCTCTCTATTACCTTTTCTGACAAATACAGCTCTGTTCACAGAAGGAACAGTGATGTGCATGCATATTCAGATTGCTGTTTGAGCATTCAATTGTGATGACTATTCCGTGTGTGCTAGTACTCTCTTACATGTTCAAGGAAACTTAGTGAGTTTTCCTGAGTGTTAACGTTTTCTGTCGCTACACTGAGATACCGACGCAGGCGAACATAACAGAGAAAGAAGAGTTTTTTGTTGGTTTGGACCTGGCGCGGGCTTTCTTGGCTGAAGCACACGATGACACATCACATCATGATAAGAACAAGTGAGAGGGAGTGATCATGTCCTACAACAGAAAGCCACAGAGCAACTGAGGGTTTGCCCTTACTCACGTTAACAACCTATTCCGGGAAAAGGCCCCGTTGTTCCAGGAGAACTGCTGTATCCCCTTCCCAGGACAGCTGCAAGCACTGTGAGGTCTCCCCTCAGGCCACAGTGAGAAAGAGCCAAGTGTCCATCATGTGGACCCTTGGGGAAGAAACTTAAACCATACCTTAGTACCCTCAAATTTTGTTATTTTTTAGATAGTCACATACACACCTCAAAAAAAAAAAATTTCAAAAGAATAGTGGTTCTTTGCCTGCCTGCCTGTTCCATATTTCACAAGTTACAAGTGCGGTTGACTTGCTTTCTTCTGTTCTTGCTGTGCGCATAGATACACATGTGCTTCTTTTTTGCTAACTACTCTAAGTTGTAGACATCACAGCACTGGACGTTGCAGCATGTATATTTTTACCCTAAGGTGTAGTATATTGTCATCTGGTTGACATAAGTCTGTGCTCGAATGTTCCCGTTTGAAATTGACCCAGTGCCATTACTCAGTGTGCAGAGGCACTTGCTGCCAGGCCTGGTTATCTGAGTTTAGTCTCCAGGTCCCACACGGGAGAAGGAGAGAACCCAAGCTGCCCCCTGACTCCCCCCACCCCCTCGCATTCATGTTTTGTCAAAGCTGGGTGTGGTGGCTGCCACTGTACCCCCTATGCTTCCGAGGTGACAGACAAATCCCCAAAGCTCATGGGCTGGCCAGCCTAGCCCAGTCAGTGAGCTCCGGTTCAGTGAGAAACCTTATCTCACAAAATACGCTGGGAAGGTGACTGAAGAAGATTCCTGAAGTGGCCTCTGGCCACTACACACATCTGCGTGTGCACCCATTTGCACTTGCACAAATAAGTGCATACCTACCGCGCACACACTTTAAAACAAAAGATAAATCTGAAAAAGTGAGATGGCTCAGTGGGCAAAAGCATTGGGAATCCTGGTGGCCTGAGTTCATATGTTGTTGTTCAACCACCAAGTCCATAGGAGTTGTCCTTTGACCTCCCCATAGTGCCCACCTCCTACACATCTGCACATCTACACAGTGATGTTAGGATGTCAGGTGTTTCAGAGCATAGGCTATAGTTGAACAGATAGAACTGCAATAGAACCAGGTTTTTAAGAAGTAACTCATACTGTGCTAATCAATTAATTGTATTGACATTAACGTTGTCCTTCATGAAACTTCAAAGTTACGGATATTTCTTTTGATTTCAGTATTATTGTCAGTATATATTTCCAAACTGCAGACTTGTGGAAGTACTTGGACCATAAAGCTAAGGCCATCTGATGGGGACAGACTCCTAAAGGGTCCTAGGGCAGTGGACTGAAGTCTCAGAGCTCCTGCTGCCGCTGTTTAATGTGTCACTATTAAAGGCTTTGCTGTCAGCGGCTTGTGGTAGATACAGTACAATTTTAGGTTGGAGTTGCTTTATCTATAAGAGTATGGGTGTGGTTAGAGGCATTTGTAACTTGGGGTCATTTTTTCACCTTCCACTTCACCCCAAAACTAACAAAAACCAAAATCTATATGAGAGTAATTACAGTCCTTTACGTCAGCATTAATATAGCCAAGTCTTCTATTTGTGGTCAAAGTGAATAGTAGCATATTTTACAATCTCTCAGAACATTCCATATAGGAGTCAAGCCACCTGTTGTGTGTGCTTTTGAGTGTCATGTTGTATGTGAGCAAATTTAGGGTTGTTTTTAGTAACTGGGACGAAACAACATGACTTGACATTGGCTTATAAATGGATCAGCCATGCTCTTGCCGATAGGGTCCTTGTTCTCATAGGAAGTACCTTACACTTACTAAACATAAAGGCTCATCAGAAGTGACTAGGTCCCCAAAGAAAGTTCATCAGAAACCCAGGAAATTACAGATCTAAGTCACTTTAGATAAGCCCACAGGAAATTTGGATACACATCTTATTATTATGCAACTTTAATAAACCTTCTTAGTAGTTATAGTAGGTCCAGGGCCTAACTGGGCACTTGTTCCTAGCATGTTCAGGCAGTAAGGTATTTGGCTCAGATTTTCTTAAGTTCCTTCTGTTGTTGTAAAATACCGTGATCAAAAGCAACTCGAGCCGGGCGGTGGTGGCGCACGCCTTTAATCCCAGCACTCGGGAGGCAGAGGCAGGCGGATCTCTGTGAGTTCAAGGCCAGCCTGGGCTACCAAGTGAGTTCCAGGAAAGGCGCAAAGCTACACAGAGAAACCCTGTCTCAAAAAACCAAAAAAAAAAAAAAAAAAAAGCAACTCGATCAAAAGCAACTCTGCCTTTGAGAATTTATTTCAGTCCGTCATGAAGAGATCTCAAGCAGCATCTTGGAGCAGGAAGTGAAGCAGAGATCATGGAGAATGCCATTTACTGACTTGCTTCCCATGATTTGCTCAGGGGTGGTACACAGTGAGCTGGGCTCTTCCATATCAGTCATCAGTCAAAAAAAAAAAAGTCCACAGTTTGCCTCTGGGCCAGTCTGATGACATTTTCTCAGTTGTTTCTCAATTGGGTTTCTTCCTTCTTAGAGGACCCTGTCTTGTGTCAAGTTGTCAAAAATCTAACCAACACACTTTTTAAACTATATCATTATTATTGGGTAGGGGGCAGTGCATGTGTAGAGTTCGGAGGAGTTGTCTTTTCTCCTTTCACTGAGTTCTGAGGACCAAACGTGGGTTGCAGGCTTGTAAGCCCTTTGCCTGCTGAACCCTTTTGGTTGTTCTTGTCTATCTCCTGCCCCTCGGGTCAGTCTTCTGAAGCCCGTGCTGGCCGTAGCTTGCTGTGCAGTTGAGGATGGCCTGGAACTGTGATCCTTCTCCTCCTCAGGTGCACAACCCTCCCAGGTGATGTGGGCTGCCAGCCCTATCACATGACCACTTTGAAAACCATCACTTTCTCATATCTTTGGAGAGTAGTGTTCAGTCAGACGCTCCCGAAATGGTTGTTCAAAGGTGCCTATACTGACCACGCCTGCTTCGAGGACACACTTATTTACCCGGCAACATTCTATCTGGACCTTGTTAGACCAGTTAGGGAACAGTAAATACTTTAAACATGCTGTCTTTTTAAAACAAGAACACCAGAATTGATGTGTGTGTGTCTGTATATAGTGTCCCATTTTATAAATTGTTTAATAACATGCGTAGGCAAAGACACTTAAGTTTAAGTCATTTAACATGGCTACTAGAAAGGAAATTTTTTATTATAAATTTTCTTTAAAATAAAGTTATGTAAAATGTATTTTGTGGCCTCAGAACATAGCTCAGTTGGTAGATTAAAGCATGCATGTTTCCCTGGGTTCAGTCCCCAGCACCGCTGAAATGGAGCAAGATGACCTGTGCCTGTGACCTCAGCACTCTGCAGGTGGAGGCGGGAAAACCAGGAGTTCAACACAGCCTCAGCGCCATAATGAACTTGGGCTATGGGATCCTGTCTTCAAATAAGGAAATAAACTACATTTGGAAGTTGAGTTTTCTATCAAATCTAGGATGAAGTTGTGTGTAGAATGTGTAAGACATTGCTTTACTTTTATCAACAATAGAAGAAAGTTTTGGTGAACAAGCAGAAAGTGTCCCTTGACTGTATAATTGAAAATACTTCAAAGTGTTGAGCCATTGCCAGGATGCAGATACGGCACTGAAGCCAGCACAGACGTGGCCAGGGACAGTAGCACGTTTCAGAGATGTTGGAGAACTGGCTAGGTGGCAGGCCAGCGTTTCTTACAGAAGAGCTCTGTGGTGAAGAGGGGTTTTCTGACTTGTTGGCAACACTCTGAACTTGGCAGTTAAAAGTCTGTGCTGTTAGGGATAGTTGCCTGCCATATGTTGAAAGGAAAGATCAGGTTTTGGAACTCAAAGCATTTCAGACCAACATTAGTCCCACTGGAGTCTTCAAGTTAATGCCAGATCTTCAAGTCCTTTTTGTAAAAAGTTGGTGTCGGTGATATCTTGACCTCACCAGAACTGAGAGCTGGAATGAGATGTTTGCTCTAACTACTTCCTCATTGGTATAGAAAATGAAATAATGTGCCTCACTGCTACTCCTCTTGGCCATGAGAAAGTCTGTGTCTGTTCTAGCTCCCTTTCTGTTTTTACCATACAAACTCCGAAGGAGGCTCTGGTAGACAGCTGTGAGCAGCGCTGGCTGAAACCCAGAGTAGCATGTCATTGTCACCCAGCCATTTCTGACTCCGTAACTCCAGGAACAGAAGCAAAATGTTAATGTTTTGTTACAAGTCCATTTTCCCTCTAGAAAAAGCTTGCTTAAAACCTGCAGTCAGTCCTCAACAGAAATGGTGCCAGTGTGTTTTTCAAACCCATATTCTACCTTCTCAGAAACTTATTTTCTCTGTAGACAGAAAAGAAGCAAGAATTAGTCGTTAATTTATTATACAGCGAGCGTGCCAAGGTTCATATATAGCCATCTTATCTGGGTCAGAATGAGACCAGTGTTTTATTAGTTGTGAGGACTTGGGGAATTTCTGTTGCACTTGTTAATGTGAGTTGTATACATTGTTATACGTTCAGAGGAGTATCTCAAAATTGAATCACCATATAAAACAAACACACACCTGTCCCCTACAGAATGTCCATGGTTCTGTAAGTTCCTCTATATGTCCTTCCTCATTACCATGTCTTCCTGAAGCTCACTGCTGTCCTGACATTGATGCAAGCCCTTCCCCTGAGTTTCTCTATCATTGTGCCATTTTACATATTCTCAACAACGTACTTAATTTTGAACGACTAAACAGAAGCCTGGTCATACGGAGAAAGCAATAGTCTCCCTGGAGACTCATGTGAACATTCTCTGGGCAGGTCAGGCTTTTGCTTTTCTAAAAGCCTGTAAATGCCTCTTCCAGGGAAGTCAGTAGGAAAGGTCAGGGGTTAGTCCTGAGACGCATAGGGATCAGTATATGTGGGGAACCTGTGACTAAATATAGGCTCACTATGGCCTCCCTCATACATTGAAGAAAATGCTTCTGTGGATGTTGTCATCAAATTCAAGTGCATGGCATGGAGAGGTAAGGAAGTATTGTACCAGTTCATGATCGACAAATAATTAGACGCATCAGTACCTTACGCTAAAAAGATGTATAGGTGCCTGGTGCTGGTGGCCTGTGGTGTAGACCCGTTATGTGCCCAGCACAGTGGTTCCCCCCCCCCCCCAAGACCTTTATCCTGAAGGTTCTCTCTGTTTGTCCATGTTGGATCACTGCAGCCACACCCGATGTTTTTTCTTTATTCGTGTTTAATAGAGGCTATCCTTTAGTACCTTCCTGCAAAGCAGACATTCTTAACACTGTAACATGACCACAGAAGCACTGTCTTCTTCACTTTGAACTGGATATGTACTGCTCTGGACACTTGAGTGTAGAACTCAGCAGTCATGGTGAGCCAACACTCATTGGTTGACCTGTTTTGAGAATGGTGTTTCATTTAAATAGGCCATATTTGACTCTTGTTTTTTTCTTTCTTTCATTGAATTGTTTTCAGATTTTATAATACAAAGAATCCATATATATTATACTCCAGCATTTAGTATTTTGTCTTGTCATTTTTACTGCCTCTGCATGTGTTTGTATATATGAAAAATAGGTCTATATGAGATGGACGTTTTCAGAGTTATTTGAGCTTAATTAGCACTATGACCCTCTACCATTCCATATTTCAGCATGTAATCAAAAAGGATAATCTTATGTAACCTCAGCACAGTTAACATTTAGGAAGTTAAACATTGCTGGGCTACCTTTAGCTAACATAGTTTATGTCCTTTTCCATATTTCATATTTCATCCCCTTTTGTACAAAGTCCAGTTCAGGGCTAGCTGTTAGTTGCCCTCTATTTTCAATTTTCTCTATTCTGGAATAACTTTGTCTCTTACGACACTAGCTGTTTTTACAGAATGTACTTCATAGCAGTTAGTGGTTCCCCCGTTAAGCTTCTGGGTGTGTTGCCCTGCTAGATTGCCTTTTCAGGGAGTTACGTCCAAAGGCATAGATATAGATAACCGTTAGCACCCCAGGAGTGATGTTAGTCTTGATCACTCAGTCAAGGTAGTTGCTGTTTTCCCCTTTGCAAGTAAGTCAGATACTTGGGATACATGCAAATAAACCTTCCTTTTAGACTTGGACCCCAACATGTAGAGGTGGCTTTTTAATGGTTCCTTCCTATCCAAACCAAAGTTTATTTTGAAAATTTTAAAATTTATTTCCTTGAATAATTCAATTTGATATTTATTTACTTGTTAAAGCAGTGATTTTTACATATTACATAATATAATTACTGATATATTTTGATATAAATTAGTTTTCGAACCTCTGAGCTTATTTTTAATCCTTTGCTGCCCTCTGCAGGTCTATGGATGTAGATCTTTGGAGCAAGGTAAGTATTCCTAATACTGCAAACCATAATGTGATGTATGAAAAGCCATCAGGAGCAAGTTTTAATAGCTTCACACATTTCTGATATATTATTACAAACTAATGGGTTAAAGTTAAAAGTCTTGATATTGGTAGTTTTAAAACAGCAGGAAAAATGTTATTCAAGTAGTCTTTGACTTAATCTTAAATTCTTACTAAGATTTTCATCTTTCAAAACAAAACTTATAAAATTATTGTGGTGGCATTTGAATGTACAGGCTTAGTAATTTTTTGGGTGGTGCTTCACATTTCCTGAGTGAGTGTTCATTCACTGAGCTTATCTCTAGCCCCGTTTTCTGGATACATCCATGTGTACTAGTTTATATGTATTCCTATATGTAATGGTACATAGACCAACCCACTGCCTTTGAAAGAGGTCAGCTGGTTTGTATGCCTGAACAGTTCATGATTTCATGAAAAATTTCAGTCCAAGAAGATCAGAATACAAACTCAAATTCACAGTTTAAATTTGTTTTGTTTTATATGTTTGGTTCCAGGATTGAACACAAGGCCTTACATATGCTAGGCAAATCAGGCCCAAGTATTTTTTTTTTTTAATGTATTTTGAATCAGTTCTCTATCTAGTTTTACTACAGCTACCATTCAGACTTTATACTTAATTTAGTATATAGTTAGGCTATATGTAGAAACAGTTCATTGACCAAAGAGACTTCATTGGTTTATTTATTAAATGGGTGTTCAAATTTGTTACTATATACCACGCCTGTCTCACACCTTTGTGCAGCTCAGTTTCTGTAGAATTGACTAGTGGTCTTTGTGTGTGTTGCTTAAGGACAGTCTGTAGAAGGCTGCTTTTCTTTTGAGTCTCCTACCCTTTGGATTTCTATTAAGTGAAGCATGTCATGATGGCATAGGATCAGTTTTGTCCAATTTTCCATCTCAGCCAACAGATGATACAAGTAACTGAAGTTTGGCTTTTATTAACACTAATTATGTATGCCAGGATAAGCTCAGCTGTAGACTTCACATGCTAGTCCTGACCCTTACCGTTTTTGGACAACTACTGTGTGCTTCTGCTGTCTTCAGCCTGAAGATTTGTAGGTTCAAGTAGGGTTACAAGTCAGTACCATAGGTCTATATTAATTTTGATTATAAAGTGTATTCTTGGATTTTTAAGTTAAAAATTGGTCATAGCATTAATGCTGAAAAATTAATTTGTGTATGGTTTTAGTGTTTGTGAATTGAATTGCTAAGAATCTGAATTCAAACACATTTGAGTCTTTGACTCATATTTTAAACTCATTAAGTGAATGAAAAAAATGTCACTGAGAAATAAAAAGTACATATTATTTTCTGGTCCAGCACATTTTACTTACTATTTCCCTGGTATTTCATTCAAAAGGGGGACATTTGATCCAGTTTGAATGGACTATAAACACTAATGAGAAATAATACTTTACAGTCCTAGCAGATTTTCTGGTTAGCAGAATAACTTTTGAGTATTTAAATTCAAATTTAAACATCACTTTAGCACTTTGTGATGTTTCATAAAATATTGCAGTTTTCCTTCGTGTTTTTTTTCTTTTCTTTTTTCTTTTTTTGGTTGTTTTTAGAAGACAAACCTATTATTTAAAAGCAAAATGATCTCTGTGATGAGGTGGGTGGGATTGCTGTGACACAGAAAAATGCCTCATTGGGGACAGACTTTATTATTTCAAGAATTCAATCTCATGTTGTATTTGTTTTTATTTGCTCCTCTTGTTGCGATGCATGGATTTTCTGTCTTACCAGATAACAGAATTGTTGTACAAGAGTGGACGTTACTGCCGAGAGCCTCCAGGTAGCGTTTCTATTTAGATGACTGTAACTTACCCACACACCCATTCTTCTGTGTAATGATGGGCTAGAAGGATTACAGCAGTAAACACTCTTGATTTTGAAAGTGAAATCTGAAAACACTTAATTCTAATGATCTGTATCAATGCCTACATTTTGAGATCTCTAAGGTGTATGATTTTATTATTTTTTTAAAAGACAAAATGTGGAGCCTTTGAGGTATACAGCAGTGTTCCTTATTGCATCTGTGGAGATAGGGCTAGAAGCCAGTGAGTCTCAGTGTCTATATGACTTCAGCTTTTTGCAGGTGTGGTTAACTTTATACATAAAGTAGGAAAAAGTCTTGGATTTTTCACTTAGATATAGCTTACTATCTATTAGATATAATTCAGGCATTTAATGAAGTCAGGACTGTATAGTTTTCTATAAGAAAGTACCCTTCTTGAAAGTTCAGACCTCCTCTTCGAGGCATTAACACATGGCCCTATGAATTTTATGCTTGAATGCATAAGAAAATTACTGTTGTTACAAAACATCTTTGTTAATCTTGGTTTTTCATTGGTTAATAGGCGGGTCTCCGTGGGATTACTGTATCTGCTCATTAACAGTATTTTAACTTTCTATGCTCAGTATTTATCAATCATTTCTAATTTTCAAAATATTGTCCACAAAAAATTAGTACAGAAATATGTGAAGACATTTCTTTACACTCACTACCTGTGCTTTGGACAGGAGGGGGGTGAAGCCTTGGGCAGGGCCGCTTCTGTCACAGAGTGGTGGAGAAAATAGATTGAAGTAAGACTCTGTACTGCAAAGCTGTCACTCGGGCTGAAAATAATTAATATTCCTTTCACTCACCAGTTAGATATGTGCTCCCAAACCACATAATCTCTATGCCTCAGTGATCATTGTTGCCATTTCAGAGCCTCTCATCAGGGTGACATCTCACACCAAAATGATTTCTTATAAATTAATCTTGATAACATGACAGTCGCAGTAATTTTAGAAGAATGCTTTCTCTTGTTTTTTTCCACAGAAGCTGTTGGCTATTTTCTGTATAACTTGATTGACAGCATGCGTGACTCAGAGGTACAGGCCAAGGAGGAGCATTTGAGACAATACTTCCATCAGCTGAAGGAGATGGTACCATTTCATTTTTGCTATATAATGCCTGTCCTGCCTGACATGTATCTATTAGATTTGAAATTGCTGCTTTTAAGTACAACCAGACCACTTCTCAATGACATGCAAGAGTTAGAGACTTAAATTATGTCTGAGATAATTTCTCTTAGACAAATTTCAGTGTGGTTGTCTAAACTCAGTGTTTTCTTTACCTTTCCTTTTCCTTCTCACAGAATGTTAAAGTTCCTGAAAACATCTACAGAGGCATTCGTAATTTGCTGGATAACTACCACGTTCCTGAATTGATTAAGGTGTGTGAGTGTAAGCAACCAACTTTATTAAATGATTCATCTATATGTAGAGACTTGTTAAAATCTCATTTAAATTTAATTTGGAGGGATACAAATTTTTTTGTCCCAGTAATAACAATAAAAATAAAGCTTTTATTGATTGTTAGTAGAAACTGTTTACATATTAAAGGGAACATCTAAAACATTAATTATAATGGTTAATGCAGTATGAATAGAATTTCTGCAGAATTTTAGAAAGATAGCATTAAAATGAGGCAAGGCTTGCAAAATTTGCCTTTGACATTCACTAACATTTTTTTTCCCTGTGTTTTCTAATTCTGTACTAATTTAAATCCCAATTTTAGGATGTTAAGGTGCTGGTTGACAAAGAGAAGGTAGATTCTCGCAAAGTAAGTAGTGTTTTATTTTGTTTTTTAAACTACATCTAATAAGAATTTCAAATAATATCCCTGTAAAATCATCTTGTATACCTCTGAGTTGGTAAAACTATTCCTCATCTCAGAAAACCACAGGTCTAGGATATTAGCATAAAATCTAATCATAATCCCTGGAGTCTACTCCATCCACAGACACCAAAATTAATATCCCTTGCAGCATTTATAACAGTTAAGAAAGCCAGCTTAGAGGGGAGAATGACTAGGGTTGTATTTTCTTTTTCATAGTAAACTTTTGTTTTTCCCATGTAGACTTCCCAGCTGACCTCATCTGATTTGGAATCAACACTTGAAAACCTAAAAGCTAAAAATCAGCCTCTAGGAGACGTCCTGAAGCAGCTCCTCCTGCTGCTCTGCTCGGAAGAGGTACCATTACCAGTGCTCTCTTTCACATGTGCCCTTAGGGGGGAAGATTCTACAGAGAATTCTACCACAGGAGTAAAACGCAATATCATGTTTATGATTTTTACACTTTATTGGTATGTGTCATACTTGAGAACAGTGCAATTAAATGGAAGGTTAACTAATTTCGGCGACACCTTGAATGGCATGTTTTCGGGTTGCTGTAGTTTGTTTATGATAATCTACAAAGTGAATGATAGTAACAGCCGTGATAGGTTTATCATACATGCCAAATGTCCTTTCAAGCCATGGCTCCGGTCTCTCATATCCAGATTGTCAAGCAACTGATACATGCAGTAGTCATTTGCAAGTCAAATAGCATGAGGTTGTTAATGCAGGGATTGAAATTCCATTTTCCTGCTAGGAAAAAGCTTTCTGAGATAAAGGGTCCCTTGCCTTCTGCAGCAGGCCTGCAGCTGTACTTTGTGTTCATGGTAGGAGATCTGCAGTTGGTAGGGTAGGCTCTGCTTCACTACTATTATTCTTACGCCTGTGATTTTAGGGGGAAAATACTGTGACTAACTTTGAGATGACATCGTGGCTCTGTTACACTCTAAAACAGATTTTGTCACATTCCTTGTATACTGAACTATTCTGAGGAACTTTTCAATTATGTGTATTTCCAAATCTGGAAATTAGACTGTTAGAAAAGACTTGGGAAATATTATAATATTCTAATATTTAATTACAAACAAGAAATCTTTTAAGCCCTGCATATTTATATTACAAGAAATCTTGTAAGCCCTGGCTTACATACATATGTATGCACACACACACACACACACACACTTTGGGCAGGGTTAAGTGTGTGAAACCATTTATTTTAAAAGTTCTGTTAGCTTTTCCTAAACTCTGAATACCACAACAAAAACCATGATATTTTTTACCTTTATATTATTTTCTTCTTTTTCACTAAATTCTTTTATTTTAGAATATGCAAAAAGCCCTTGAAGTGAAAGCAAAGTATGAGTCCGACATGGTTATTGGTGGCTATGCAGCTTTAATAAATGTGTGCTGTCGAAATGATAATGCAGAAGATGCATTGAACTTGAAACAGGAATTGTAAGTACCCTGGCACTGAACAGGTCAGCCGGTGTCTGAAGTGCCCTGATGGGTTGACTGTTAGTGACTTACATCATTTTTTACAAATCTTTTGCTGTCAGTGTTTTTTTTTTTTGTTTGCTTGTTTTTGTTTTTTTAATTTTGTGCTAGAAAGTCTCTTTAGTTAATTATGTCCTTTCTTTGGGGTGTCGCTTCCGTTCAGTAAAACCTTCTAGGTCTCCAAGCCGAAGAGTGGTAATGGTGACTTCTTACCAGCCGTAATGGTTCCCTTTCTATGTCATGTACACAAAATGTTGTCGGGTCTCACGAATCTTTCACTCCTCTCCTTACTGAAAGCTTTATAATATGGAAACAAGTCCTTTTAGGTCCTTGTGTGTTTGCAGTGAAAGCCAGTGTCGTGTAGAGGGCCGTGAAGGCAAAGTGTGTCTTCATCTGTGTTTTCCTGTGCGGTGAGGCAGTGTGTTTGTGTGCTTCTGCGTTTTCACTTCTGCAGTTAACTGTGGATGGAAACATGGTTTCAATCACGTTATGTGTCAAGGCCAGTATGATAACAGTTCAGACTGTTTGATTAGCTTTTGGAAAGTAGTAAAATGAATATGACTATCCTTCCTTTAGTTAATTGACTTAATGTAACTGTGGCTTATTTTATAGTGACCGCTTAGACCCTTCTGCTGTTCTTGACACTGCCAAGTATCTAGGCCTTGTCAAAGTGTTGGCCAAGCATGGCAAGCTCCAAGGTAAGCCCCTGGACGTAGAGGGAAAACGCGATGCCAGTCCTTGCCCCTGGAATAACACGTGAATTGATATTAATGGTATATCATGTCCTACAAAGAGCTTGAACACTTTGCATACAGATTTGCATGTGAATCCGACCAGAGCTGCGTGGACAGTGTAGGCCATTAGTTTTAATGGATTGGCAAGCTTGTCATTTACATTTGCACAGCTCAGTGCCTTTTGCATTTCTGCAGCTAGTTTTTATTAGCATTGCTGTTTGGATGGAGTTTGAAGATCATGACTTATGGCACAATTTGCTTATATGCCTGCACTAATGGCTTTGTTTTCGCTTAAAGAGATCTGAAGGCTGAACATAAAACCTGCAAACATAACCTGGTAGATAAGAATCTGAACTGTGCAGTTTTGTCTTAACCCTTAATAACATTAACAAAATATATATTTTAGTTGAAAAAGCAAATTTGATTACATGGATGATTTGCATGCTCTAATTTCCTCGTTGAAAAATTGCTAAGCCTAATAATGATGATGAGTTGCACTTGATAATCCAGTCTTCCTATTGTAGGTTCTTGGTGTACCTATCAGCTTTGTATTGGAACTTTCTCCTTACATTTCCTCTCTTCAATTTTTGGAAGAGATGGAAGGGGAAATTACTTGATTTGAATATTGACATTTTTCCTAGGAAGCCTTTCTAACACAAATTAGCCTGCTTTTTAAAAAAAATCACTTTTTGTAAAGTGGTCAAAACATTTTGTCTGTAATAATTAAGAACAAACATTATAAAAATGCACTTATTCCATATCCTAAAATGTTTGTTTCTGCCTTCCTAATGAAGCTTAATGAATCTAATGTATTAACATGCAGTCTTTTGGAAAGCTTTCATTGGCTCTGCTTGGCTAATTAGTATCGACATAGCAAACAGGCCCTATCGGTATCAGACCATTAGTCTGGCTGTATATACAGTGTAAACACATCTTTATTATCTGGCCTCCTGACAAGCCATCTGCTGAAGAGACAATGGTGTGATTTAGCAGATGTTAGCTCTGAACGATAAAAGCATCCATTTAGGAGGATCTTACAGCTACAGGGCAGACCATGCAGGGCTCTGTGGTGCAGAGTGGGCACACGGTCCCTATCTGTAATTTGTAGTCAAAGTTGCAGGGAAATGATAAAACCATGCTATTGTGGATTTATAATTGTAGTCTCGTTTAGAAATGCAAGTAGTAATTAACTTGAAATCGGCATTATACACTAGAATTTACATTCCTGCCGGGCTTGAAATGCTGTTTTAATAGCAGTTTGTTTTCCCTACATGAAATTACCTAAGGGTCTTTTGTGTTACTTCATTGTAGATGCGATTAACATTCTAAAGGAGATGAAAGAGAAGGGTGTTGTCATCAAAGATGCAACAGTGTCCTTTTTCCACATCCTAAATGGCGCGGCTTTCAGAGGTGAAATTGAAACAGTCAAACAGTTGCACGAAGCCATCGTGACTCTTGGCTTAGCACAGCCGTCCACCAGCATAAGCACCCCATTGGTCACTGTGCACCTGGAAAAGTAAGTTCATTGAATTGGGGATATTGGACGTTGGAATTGCAGGAATGAACCTGATCGTTTTGGGATTATGCTCTGCAAGTACTCTGGTGACTTGGAGTCCTTGAGAGTCACTTTTTGGTGAATAAGTGCACCAGGGTAACCCTTCAGACAGCAGCAGCCTGTGGCTGTGTGTTACTTGTTAGTGGAAGTCTCTGGTGACTATTTTTTTAAGGAGAGTGTAATGGTATTACATTATATTGTATCTGTGGTTGGGTGTGGTGGCAGACACCTCTAATCCCAACACTCTGGAGGTTGAGGCTGGAGGCTTATAGCAAGTTGAGACCAGTCCGGGTTACATAGTCAGTTCTTAGGCCATCCTTAGCTACAGAGCAACACCCAAACTCCAAAACCTAAAAACAAATCAGGCACAGTGGCTCACGCCTTTAGTCACAGCACATAGGAGGCAGAGGATGGCATATTTCTGTGAATTCTGGGCCAGCCTGGCCTACACATTGAGAACCCAGTGTCTAAAGAAATAAATACATAAATATGTTTCCTCAAAGTTTGTGTTTAATAAGTGCTGGTTATTAATGAATATAAGAAGCAAGGATCCTCTGGATTTTTCTTCTTATGCCCCATGACTATTATCCAGGTCATAAACAGACCTCCCCTAGTGTTCCTGTTTGATATCCAACCACATGTACCAATGCAGTTATTCTATTGGAGAAGTGTTTCTCTTTATGGGAAAATCAATTTGGTTGGTAAGGCAAGATTTTCTGAGGCTGACCTTTTCCCTTTGCAATGCCCTTGTTGGTGCCCAGTTTAAGGCATTATTTGTAGAGTAAGTCATAAATCGGTGCTTTTTAAGGAGGGAGAATTCTCATGAGATGGATTAAGCACTCCTTTTTATTTTAGATTTTAGCTGTTTGTCATCTAGTCCCTGGATCAATGTAGTTTGTGTGTGTCTCTTGTGACTAGGAGTTCCTGATTTTCCTGTGGGCCGACTTTATAGTTTAAAACATTGTTCTCATTGTTTCTCATAATTTCTGGTAGTTTTAGTTTTATTTGGTAGTATAGTGACTGTATGTATGAATGATAGTGTTGGATTTAAAATATAAAATTGAAAATATCTCTTCTAACCAGCTTTCTATTAGGAAATGTGTATTTGTGCATTTGGATGTACGCATACCCAAAATAATTGCTTGGCCATTCAATCATAAACAGCTACCAAGTTAGATGAATGTACAAATCTTCACCTTCACGATCTCAGCATTCCATTCTTTTCAAGAAGGAGTGATTCAAACAATTGCTGTATACTGAGTTCTCACAATCACAGCCAACTGTAAATAGAAATCCTATAATTAATATGCTTCCTAGTGGAATTTTTTGATTGTTTAAAAGGCCCATCTCTGCAAATTGCATGTGGAACTCTCCACGGGGATTTGAAAGAAATGGGCCCAGCGCCCAGAAGAATGAGGCCCTCCTACACTACTGGGCAAAACCAAATAACTAACAAAGAAAACGAGGTCACGGCAGAGGAGTGTCTTACAAATGGGAGTACTTTGAAGACAGAGACGTGAAAAGTTTCCAAAAGAGGTCTGCAGATGGGGCTGGTGAACCAGGGGATGTGGACAGAGCGTGAGCTGTGCTCTCCTGGAGCAGGCTCTGTCTTTCTGGTGTTAGAACAGCAGCTGCTGGTCTCCCGTCACATTTGCTTGTCCTCGCTGTCTTCACTGTCTGGGCTGAGGAAGTGGGTGCACTGGACGCAGACACTTAGAGAAGGCAGTCCCTTCCTTCTCTTCTCTGTTTTGTAGTATCTGCTTCTCTGTCTGTGTTGTCTTCCCAGAGACAGCCTCCATGACGAGGTCTTTATGTTTGATCTGTCATACTAAAAACATGTTGACTGCCCTAGATTCATGGGAAGAGTAAAACTGAAACAAAGGAAACTTCATATTTATAAAAATAAAATAAAACAAAACCACTCCTCTAGTAGCATTTCATTAGTAAAAACTGAGATAAAATATTAACTTTGAAACTTTTATTCAATTATATTTTATCTGATAGAGATAGCTAATTAATTCAGAATCATGACAGGCACCAAGATTAACTACACAAGGCCACCCAAATGGCCACAAGTATTTGATTTGATTTAATAACATTGACTTTTCAAAATGTCACATAATTGACTCTAGCAGGTTATGAGCTCATCTGCAAAATGAGCCTTACTTATTTATTTAAACTTGGGGTAAAATTATGAAAACAGTTTCAGAACACCAATTTAAGGATCTCCATGATTTCATTTATTTTCGGCTTGTCACTGCAAAAGGCTCTAAAGGGGATATCATTTTCACATTACAGTTGTAAAGCAAGTCTTTAAGATTCTGTCGGCTTTCATTTTGAACTGACTTTTCAACATTTGGATAAAACACAGGAAATAATAGCTTATGTTACATGTATACTGTAAAATTGTTTTGTGGGTTTGGAAATAATGCATTTTGTTTATATGCATTTGACAAGGGAAAACAAGATCGTCATAGGTTTACATAATTATAAAGAGTTTGGTAAATAACCTGCTTCTATACTATCCATGTGATATTTGACATTGAACAGGAAAGAGAGCAGTTGAAAGTTTGTGTGCTTCCTATTGTTACCGTCTTTAAGCCCTTTCTTTACATGCGGTCCATTTGAATGTTCCATCAAGTATTTTCTTTTGCTGTAAATTGTGTGTATTTGATTCAACTCCTTATTGATTGGGGAGATGACAGAGGTCCTCTGTTACTAAAGCAGAAAGGACTTGTTCAAAATGAGGTAAGAGAGCTTTGAGTAGTCTTCAGATCACACTAAAGGAAACAAACTCAAAGTGTGATGCTGTTTCAGACTCCGGTCTCCTTAGATCCATTTGGTTTGTCGCATGTGGAAAGTATCCGAGGCCGCTTAACTGGATTATAATAAGTACAGATGATCAAAGCGCTCTAATTTCTGCTTTCCATTAAGGAGTTTTTCTGTGTGCTGGTTTGTGTTTTAATCTATGCACGGATATTGTTCATTTCTCTTCCCAGAACTGTTGCTAAATTAATGTTGAGTTCTTATAAATGTCCTAATTTCCTTAAGGTGAACTTGTAGAAATTTAAATTTGAAACAGTGTAGCCCAGCTACATATATGTCACATAAATGGGAGGCACACTTCTAAAATGCTGGTTATTCTGGGGTAAACACTCCCCTTCAATTTGAGCGCCTTCATTTGTACTGGATACTTTTATTAGATGTGGGAATGCTTGCCTTCCAGAGTAAAACTCTTTATATGTTGAAAGGAAATTAAGGAGGTTTGGCTCTTTTACTCCATTATTGCAATTAAGAATTTAGCATCATCAGTGCCAAAGGACAAAAAGTGTTTCATTTGCCCTAGGGGGACAGGACAGTGATAAGATGATTTTTCGTCAAGGATCATTGGGTCGTAATTAAGTTACATTCATGGCTATTGCTTTTTGAAGGATGATTGGTAAATGACAGGCTTCATGTGCTTCTTACGGACAGTGTGCAGGAAGGGTTTTTTCTCCCTCTGTCAGAAAATCCTGTTGAGCCTGATAATGTAAATGTGGCATTTTACTCTGAACAAAAGAGCAGGGAAATGAGCTATCTTGTCTAATCATTCAGTTGTTTAACACCGACTTCCAGTTTAGACTCAATTGGCTGGAAAGCACTTGACATGTGAAGTTAGGGCTGCTCCAAGCGAGCGCATGTTTGAGTAAATTTTCAAGTCAGTGACAGCTAAATTGTACCTAGGGAAATTACAAAGCCTTCAACACAGTTAATTTTTGGGGAGGATTAGTTGTAATTGCAACACCAGTCTCCTTGAAGATTTCTCATTTATAGATGATGAACGGGGGAAAAACAAAAAGGAGAACCCTTTGGCTCTTTGAAGGCGCTGCTCCTCTGGACAGAGCCGCATTTGTGAAGGCAGCGGTTCCTCCTGGACCATTTCACCCCATTCTAAACATAGTTTTTATTTCTTTTTTAAATGCTGCCCACCTCCACCTCGATCCACTTCTCTCTGGCCATTTCAGATTTGAGGGCTGTTCAATTAAGTCCTTCAGTAAATTGCTACTTCACTAATACTTTATGCATAATGTTGAAGTACTTTATTCCAATTAGAAGCTAATAGTTGTCATATTTTTTGTTGCTTAAATTATGTATCCACCTTGAATTCGAAAGTCATTTCCTACAGATGTGTGAAGAGACTAAGTCCAAAGCTACAGATGTGAATAGACAGTTGTCACAGGTCTTCTCACTGTACAAGTTCAGCGTCGTGTGGACGACATGTATGAAGGACTGTCAGTGAGGAGACTGTCTCCTGGCTGGGCTGGGCAAGTGCTTCTGTGAACGTGTGTCAGCAGGCTTGCGGCCGAGCTAGCGTGTGTTCTTCTGTCGTTGATGTAGCACACTTTGATTCCCTAAAAGACTGCAGTACTGGGCAACGTTAGCTTTGCCGTGGGAGCAAGCATCACAAGTGCTGTTCAGTTCTGTGCACTCGTGCACAGATGTAGTTTATATGCAGAGTCGTGTTCCCATAAAATTGAAACAGACTCTAAAAGGAATAGTGAATGGGCCACTGATTAATAAACGCAGTTCTTCTTTAAGTTGTCAAATTTCTTACCAGATGTGTACTCTGTTAGGAATGTGTAAGTATCCTTCAAATTTAGAATGACAGAACCATCTTTTCTCTGGTTTTGTCTTTATTTCACATGATTTGGTAACCCTGTAAGTTTGCATTAGTCAAAATACTATTTTTTAAAGTGATGGCTTTTTATTAACATGTAGTTTTAGTTGTGAGGATTATTTTATGTGATCCCTCTCTCTCTCTCTCTCTCTCTCTCTCTCTCTATATATATATATATATATATATATATATATATATATATATATATATATATTTAACAGGGTTTTTGGTATTTAAAGATAATGCAAATATATTTTTGTCTTAGAAATAATAGTGTGTCATGCAGTGGATTTGTGTGTGTGTGAGGGGGGGTGGTTGGTTTGTTTTTTTTTTTTTTGCATAGACTTTACAATTGTATACCAAACCTTAGGTACAGAATAGACTTGAAATAACAGATTCAAAAAAAACAAAAAACTTTTGAATATAGATTTAACATTAAAAGATTTTTTCCAAAGGACTATTGTTGTTTTTTTTTTAATTTATTTTATTTTATTTTACAATATCATTCAGTTCTACATATCAGCCACGGGTTCCCCTATTCTCCCCCCTCCCACCCCTTACCCTTACCCCCAGCACACCCCCCATTCCCACCTCCTCCAGGGCAAATCCTCCCCCGAGGACTGCGATCAACCTGGTAGACTCAGTCCAGGCAGGTCCAGTCCCTTCCTCCCAGACTGAGCCAAGTGTCCCTGTATAAGCTCCAGGTTTTTAACTACATTTTCAGTCATTTCTGGTCTGCCAAGTGTATGAAGAAATCAGTCATAGAATGCTTTAGGACACGGAGGCTGGAGTATGCTGGCTGGCAATGTGCTGGTCCACATTTTGTCTAGGAAGTATCTTCTTCCCTTTTTTCTTTTACTTAGTCTTTTCTTTGCTACTTAGTATTTTCATTCTACCCAACATCAGTGGTTGTTGGAGTGACTCACGCACATGACACGTGACCCTAATCAGCAAAGATTAGAACCAGCTGGGGACCTGAAGGACCCACGTGCAGTTGGTACAGCTCTCTTAGTTGAAGGTCAAAATCTGGAGTCCTACAAATGTGCGGGTTTTTCCTTTCCATCCCCTGTTCCAGGTTCTACCCGAAAAGGTCAGGATGATAGGAAGGACTTTCTGCTTTAAGTGAGACCGTCACCCACAAGGTGCATGTAGAGAGTAAAGAGAGCAAGGAGCCGATGTGTCATTTCCTCTACCTCTGCCCTCCATCCAGTCTGTAGGGAGTGTTGTAGATTGAATTTACCCTCTGGGCAGCCTTAGGGAGTGCTAACATATATGAATTATTTCCATTTTTCTGTTCTTGTCTTTTCTGTTGTTGTTCTGGGCATGGATAATCTTCAGAAGCATATATTTGGAGACTGAGGACTATTAACATGTCGCTTTGATTGACAGAGCAATTATTCATTCATTTATTGATAGTTTTGACCTAATGTAGGGGAAATACAGTTGAGACAGTGCTGTTCTGGTTTGGGAGTCGATCTGAAAAAGCAGATCTTGCCGTTTCATAAGATGGTATGTGTTAGTTTTCCTCTTGCGAGTGTGTTCATAGTTTTCCGTGAAGGGGAATTGTGGAAAGGCAATAACTGAGCCTGTGTCTGAAGCAAGGGAAAATACTGATTATATGAAGCTTTATAGCATATGTGGTAGCGTCTATAGCATTTCCTTCATATGACAGTAATCTAGCCTGCAACATCTACTTTCGGTTTTGAAATTAACCTGTAATTTAGTCTTCACCCCAATGACAAAAATTCAAATGACTCAGTGGGGTGCCAGAAGATGCACTGTAAACAGGACTTGGTGCGGGGTGCAGCCGACTCGGCTCTGGTGTGCTCCTTTCCCGCCACGGCAGCTCATCATGCGCAGTGAGCGGGCGCCTCTGTATTTTACCCTCCTAGTGCAGTTTAAAAATCCTAATCCAGATATAGTAGAAATCTAACCTGGGGCAACATGACGTGTGTAAGGGGAAGAATGTTGTAAGGCTTCTCACTACGTTGTGAAAGGCTTTCTTCTGTGAGAACTGTCGGCGTGTGTAAGAGAATGAGTAGGTTCTCCAGAAGGAGCCTCTGGGTGTCACGAAGTGCGCTGTTTGTCTGTATCTTGAACTGTTCTTTAGAAATAGATCTCACGGTGTCTTTTTTTTTTAATGTGTTGTCTCGTAACACATGATTGCCCTGGAAGCAGTGGTGTTTGCACAGTGTAGTATGTAGCAAACCAAGTGCTTGGGCTGAGAGTCAGGGACCTGCTCCAGGGCCGCCATCTGCTTATTCTGTACTTCAGGCAAAGTCACAATTCCAGAGGCCTCGTTAAAAAAAAGAAGGAGGAGGAGGGGGGCATTGGCCAGGAGAACTGCCTCTGATATCTCTGGAGCTCTTTGGGGCCTTGTGAGTTCTTCACACTCACTTGTCCTTTCAAAGGGAAAAAGTATATGCTTAAGAAACTCTGACTTAGTGAAATTATCTTTTTCTTTTAAATACCACATTTAAAAAGGTGCCGTGACTTTTTTTTTTTTTTTTTTTTTTTTTTTTTTTTTTTTTTTTTTTTTTTTTTTTTTTTTTTTT